AAAATACAGAATCAATTTTGTCAAAATCTGGTGTCGTGTGAATAAATTCCGTCTTTCCCGATTGTTTTCCCATTTCTAAAAAAAGTAATGAGATTTCTACCACTCAAGTTACCAACTAGATCAATATGGATACCTGAAACCACCATAAAAATAGCGATTTTCGGTAATAGTTTTTCTTCTTACCATGGTGATGATAGACACGAAAAAGCAGACATCATTGTAAACCCAACACATTTTTCGCTCCACTCAGAATCTAAAATACTACATTTTTCACTAGTTTCCGTAACACGATCTTTGTCGGTTCAGATTAGCCCAAATAATGTATTTCATTCGATAGTTAAAAATAATTACTTGAGTGGTGATTAATAATATAAATGTTATTAATATAATTAATTCATCGCCTACAAACATATATACACACATCTGGTCGAAGTAATGAGTGATGATCATCATAGTGTACTGAAAATTAATCAGTCATCGTAGAAACAAAACTATATCAACCCAAATTATCTAAGAATTAAAAACATATTTGTATTTATTATATGAATATGTGCCAGTTGATTGAACTAACATTTGTTTGAAGTATATATATGTTTGATTACATCAAAGTATTATTCGTTAAAAAAAACAATTCACATGAGATCATTTTCTAGTTAAAACAAATTACAATTAAGTTAATAATTGAATTATTGTTACAAAAAATGTTTATTTATTAAAAGTATTGAGAAAACTACATTTTATAAAATTATTAAGATGATAACCAATGCGATACGTACTATAATGATAGGAATTCAATTTTTGAATATATTCTTATTTTGAATAAGTAAAGAATTAGATACTAGATAACACTAAAATTCTTTCTTAAACCTTAAAATGCAAGCTACTCAACAAGCTATAAATATTAAGATAACACGCTATACAGTTATTAGTGACGTGATGTACTTGGTTAGGGATAAGCTAAAACTAAAATATACACATATTATTTTAATGCGCCTACATCAAACATAAAAGAAGACGTCATTTTTCACAAAAACCTTTTTTTAAGGTTCTTTGTGAAGTTATTAAATTAATAAACATTTACTTAGTAATTGTACTACAAGAAATTATATTTACAATATGAGGTTTGAAACATCATAAAATATATTATACTATAAGTAGTGAAATCTTTAATTATGAAATTAACTATAGTTATTATAATATAAATGAGCTTAATTTAGGTTTACTATTGCAAACTGAATCATTTTGGAATCATTTTTTCAGTTGATAACAAAAACTATATTCACTATTCAGTATCTAACGACTAAAAATGCATAATTGTAGATAAATAAGCATGTTCTTACACAATAATATGATAATAACAAAAAAAACGAATTTATTAGGCAACTATTTAGATATTATAATCGTTTTTTCAACGATAATGTTAGGGCTTAATTATTTGCTTGTGAACATTTACAACTACACACATTTTCTACTTTTATATTAAAATTATTTGTATGATATGGGGTTTTTGAATTGTGTACTATTATTTAACCATCGTTATTTTTTTATCAAATTTAAATTAAAGGCAAACATGTTACACTGACTATGCGAATGTTAGTGTAATCGCAATCGATGTTTAGAATCTACATATTTCAATATACAGATACCGAATAGCCAATATTACTATATTGATATATTATACCAATATGTTTGTACTAAATATACGTTAATGAAATTCTATATTGAAGAATCAATTAATGCATCATATTCGACAAAACAATAATGCATTTGCTGAATGCATTTAAAAACCATTAGAGAAATATCAACATTTAACTACACTTATCAAAAAATACATAAATTGGAAAATACAGTACACTATACACTACATTAATTTTTGTCTACACAAAATCATATTCTTATTAAATTAGAAAATGGACTTAGATATTTGGAAAATGGAAGTTATGTAAATTATCGAACCCACAAACCCTGTTCATGACGCTATGAATGATTTAGCATATTATAATGGTGTTAAAGAGAATTCAATTTTAGGGTTTCAGCGGGTATAATTAGAAATTAAACTACATTATAATAATTATTGTTATTATTATCATTGTTATACACACATAACATTTAATAATATAGTAAACTATAAAATGTCTCAACAAGGAAATAGGTATTAATATTTTGTTAGGTAGTAATTGTACACAGATAAAACTCTTGTTTTAACATTTTATTTGTACGTCATGTTTGTCATGCCAATTAAATTTCCTCTATAGAAAACCAAAAAGATCCCAATATGTAGGCATTTTAAGTAATTATGTGAGAGTTATTAATTACGATCATAGCGTAAAAATCAATACTGAAAGTTATTAAAACATTGGATAAAGTAATGTAATTTTTTTTTTTAAATATTTATTGGCTTCAACTAAAAGTTATTAAAGCTCGTTTAGATAATTAAATTGTTTATTTTCACTATATTTTAAGATCATTTGTACCAGTACACGATTTGCGTTTCGAGTTTAGATACAACTAGGTTTATATTTTTTATTCTGTAAATAAATTGTTATTTACCTGCTTATAATATAGTTCCTGAATTTAATTTTGCATAAACGGAAATTTCTAATTAGATACAAAACTTATTTCAAAGTTCACTTAATTTCCTATGGTGTAACGTGAGTTGGGCCGATTGAGGATCAATACATATATTTTATACATAGGTAATTCCATGAGGGTTTTCAGGGCCCTTTGAATTATAATTTAAACTATAGCCAGGGAGCTTCAGAAAATAAAGTTAAAATGATACGTTGTAATTGATTCATTTATTATTACCGCACACAATGAGAAAATAAGATTATATACAACGTGGGGACGGTCACGAAAGGGAAAATTTGTTTGTGTAATATATAGCTAAAGATGTTAAAAAACATTATTATCAATAATTTATCGCTCAAGAACAATTGAATCATTGTGGAACACGATAACACACTTGAATTTGTTTGGACGAACAGAAAAAATATAAATACAAATTGATAATTAGTAGTTTTTTTATTTACATAAGATTCGGTATCGATACCAATTTCCTTCACCTGTGTCCTTTAAACTAGTTTCTTAAATTGTGTGTCTTATTCCGAACAAATTATTTACTTGAGTGTTAGTTATTATTTTATGATTGACTAATTCTATAATAATAAAAAATAATGAAATAATACTACAATAACTCTAATGTTGTTAATATTTTAAACAATGTGTATTTTTTTTTTTTACTTCTGTTGTTTTTTCTTATGTCGCCATTATCGAAAAACTACCTTCCATTTATTACTATTGTACGTTCAATAAAATTATGTTTAGTAATAAAATTCAACACTTAAATTAGAAATAAGAATAATCTATATTTTAAAATAAATATAAATTATAATGAATAGTCTGCAGGGTTACGCTAACAGTAACCCACATAATAACAGAGTGCCACCAATTCGCTGACGAAAGCAACAATTTCAACATACCGCTCATCATGAACGAAGCACTTGAACCAGACTCCAAAGACATATTAAATATATTAGCTTTCCTAAAGAAGACAGAACTGTATAATAAAATCTAATCAATCTCTATGCTCATATCAAAAACTAATAACCTATGTCGTTGATGTTTTTTTTAACTCAATAAAAAAAAAAAACTGTAATGAACTAATTTTGTTAGTCAATTTGAATTTCAAATATATTTTCAAAACTGCATTTTCTAAAAACGCTTAAAATATAAAAATAATCACATACTTTTTTGATAATTAAATGTATTTGAAATATACAAAGTAAATGTTGGAAAGATTACTGACCTTAAGTGCATAGCTTACACAACATTTCCATACATTCCGTCTACACCGAATAAATTAATGCAAATTCAAAATTAATTTTATAATCAATCTGCGACGACCGTCGTATGTCGCGTATGCATATATCATATATTATGTAAAATGGTTATGCGAAACGTCATTATCGTTGGGCGTACGACCACACTCTTGTTGACAAGATATGATATTCTAAATGATTAAGACTGAGTAAATAATCTACCGAACCATCAAACTCAAAGTAACCAGAGAAATTATTTGAAAATTGAGGCTCATATAATAATATTTAGTTTCCGTGTGAAAATGCAGCTCTATTAATCTGGTATTAATACCTACTCTATTAAAATATCAGTTCACCGTCGTTATTATTTATGTTTTGTGAGGTCGACGGTCGTGCTTTTTCGTTAACCAAGAAAAATGTACCTTATTAAATTACAATAACAGTACAAAAAATATCATTTACACAAACAACTGGATTTAATAATATTTGTAATTCGTATCACTAGGTATTAAATATTGTAAGCTTATGATTTTTATCTGCCCCCGTAAACTTGAGAATTTGGACAATACATAATAAATGTCTGGGGATTATATGATTCAATAATGGAAAACCCTTCAAAAAAAGAATTATTTTATCAGAACGCGTAATCACTAATAATATAATATTATGTAACATCAAATGGAATGCAAAAATTGTTTTATTTTATTTCATACGGACTTTTTGTGAAGTAACTTTGTGAAAAATTCATGGAAAAAACTAAATAACCTGATAAATATTTTAAGTACAAATCGAATTACATGCTAAGGATAATACATCGTTTATTTAAAAACAAAACTAGAAGTACAAGAGTCAATCGCCCAATATAGCGTTTCTCAATTTTCTTTGATCACAATAATAAAATATGTACATAACATATTACTAGTCTAGAAATTTCACACGTTATTAAATAGTTGAATTCACTCTTCATCATGTACAAGGTCTCATACATGTAACTCGAGTTGGAGTTTTAATAAAATAATTATATTTTGTTGGTATTGATCTATTGAATTACATACGTATTAATGTGTGTTATCATATAACTGGCACGTCATGTTATTTGTTCATGAATAGTGTTGGACTCACATGAAAATGAAATGTGAAGATAACAATATAATCTTAAAAAAGATATTTAACACTCACCGAATTGCCTTAAGTCTACTCGTTAAATATGTCTGCTTTTTTAATGCCAATTCCAAATGGTAGGTACTTACTCAACCTATAAACAAAACAATAAAAATTATTTTATCCAACAATGGTATTATTTGGTTAAAATGATTTAAGTACTTAGTTATATCATACAAATACAATAGACTTATAAGAGAGAATTCCGATGACTTTTTATATTCTATAAATGTATTAAATGATCGATTTTTAACAGTTTATTATTATTAATACAATATTGTTAAAAACACAATTATAAGAACATTTTTATTAATACAAATACTACGGTGATGTAATTTTTCAATAATAATTTAATAATTACTTTTAAAAATCAACAACAATGCTGAAATAAACTTTTTACTTAAAGAGTATACAGCTTAGACATCACTTAATAAAAATGTATTTTCAAAATAATCATTGGAACAAAATGCAATTCAAGCGATTAAGTAAACTCTTTGGGCCACACATTTATTGTATGAGTATTATTTTTTATGAATAAAAATTTTTTTTGTTTTTAAAATGCATTATATACATAACAGTCCATTTATCAAACACTTAAGTGTACAAAATATTTATATTAGTTTACTAGCTTTTTTTTAATTTTAAAGGTTTTTTTCCTGACTTGTCATCTAGTTAGGAATTTATAAAATTATGACAATAAATAGTCCAATAATTAATATAATTATAATAATGAATACCACTTATAATAACTATATAATAGTAGTAGTACTTAACTTCATTGTCTATTTTTTATTTTATCCTAATTTATTGTTTTCCTTATGTATCACGAATGTGTATATAATCATACATTTTTATTATTATTTGAGAACATTATGGGTACAGGGTATACGTTAGAGCCTATGAAAGATAGTAGTATTGTTTAGTATTATTTAGGTTGATAGTATTTCACACTACTATCGTGTTTTATTTGATGCCAAGGAAGCATTTATAAAATAAAGATAACATTTTGAGTTGCGTAGGTATGCAAACATAGAACATTTTTATTTAGAATAAATTGTATATACCGGGTCATTAACAAAGCATACAATCTACTCACCTACAATTTTTCCTCAAATTAGCATTGTTCAAATTCCGACATTAGAATTTTGAAAATAATGATACACTATCTTTGTTAAATATTTAGATTTTTTGTACCATTTAGTCAGGGTCATGTGGCCAATAAATTATTTTTAAATTAGATCCACTTTATTTTTTTTTTAACCGTTAAGTAAGTATTTTTTTTTAATTTCAGTAAACAACAAAATCTGAACAACTATTTTTTGAGCTATTAAAATATTGTATGTACTTAGCATAATATAGTCCATACTAATAGCTAATTTTTATAAAAAATATTGTGGCTGTATAAATTTTAAAATCATAGTAAGACTAATATTATTATATTTACAATTTATGCTTTGTCAAAATGTTATGTAAAACCATTAATAACGACTATTAATTTTAGTACATAAAGTTGAACAACTAAAAAACCAATAGTTCCACATTTTGACTAGAGTACGACGATATTTTCAAGAAATAATGCATTTACACCCAATTTATTTGCAACAGAAAGATTGTGTCTTGTTGAAAAAAAATAAGCCACAACAGTAACCCACAGGACACTATTTAATGGTAGGTATAAAAATATAAGTTTTTGAAAATATGGTCTTTAAGTGTATACTTAAAAAACCTAACAGTTCCAATTTAAAAAAAAGATACATTACGAAAGGATAAAAAAAGGTGAGTAATCGGCACGTAATTTTGCCGTTTATACATATAATGCTAGGCAAGAACATAAAAAAATAAAATAATAGTTAATTGAGAATGGGCCGAACTAAACAGACAGCAATACGAATACACTTGCCTTTCTTCACTCACCTTTATGTATACAGCTATTGCATTATTAGTATTGTTAAACATTTTAGAACAATGATAAATCATCAAATTCGAAAATCGTTTCGGCAGAGCATATGCTTCCAATATTGTTCATTTCTTGTGTTTTTCTTTACAAATAAGATAAGTACTAAGAAAATAAAAATAAAAAATGGTATTTTTAAAGTACCAAGTTGATAAAATGTACAGTAAATAGAACGCTATTATTAAAACTTATCTCCAACCAAAAAAAGTTTTGGAAAAAAATAATCATAGCTATTACAAAAAATATATTCCATGTTTCATTCTGAACGTCAAGTCTTCTTAATTAAAATTTTATTTTGCTTATAGTAAAAAACAATTTGTCAGAATTGTAGTTTTGGTGATTGTTTTAACAGCAATCACTCATTATTAAAAAAATTATTGAAGTTTTTGAATATATATTTTTTTTTTTAATAATTTAAATTTATAATAAAATTACATTTTACTTTTTAAGAGCATTAAAATATTTTTGATTTTATATTTTGAAGGGTTTTTAGTGTTTAGTTAGTTAGTTAGTTGATTAGTTATGGGAATTTAAAATGTATAAAAGTGTGATGTGATGTGGCACATTTTACCGCTCAATAATATGAAGGTCCACTAGGCATATTAATCATCTAAATATCACATCAATTATGTAAATTATCAGCGAGATATTTCGTTTGGAATATCAAATCAAAAATATTTCAAAAAAAGAAAATCTTAGAATATCATAATGATAAAAATTAAATACATGTCTTGCGTATATACTACATATTTAAAATTTAACTGCTATCAATTTCCCAAGCCCCGTTCTTAAAATATATATCTTATTCTAAAACACGATTCTACTGTTGTAGTCCATTCAATTATTCATGGCAATAATAATTAATCAAAATGACGTCAAACACTAATATAATTATACTACACCTGGTCTCACAATGGACCATGTTATTTAATTAGTACCTACTGCTAGTCATTAATTGGAAAAAATACGCGTAACACTAAAGCATTAACAATTGGGAATATTTATATTAATTGTTATAATCAAAAGTATCGCAAGTACATTTTTCATTTGAGCTTTCATATTTTATTTGCTCGGCTGTACTTCATCCAAAATTAGGTGAAAGGTATTTAAAAAAATGAATTTTACTTTCACTTAAAAAAGTTGATAAAAATCAAAAAACGCTTTATTTATACATTTCAACTAAAAAATTATAGGTATATTGATAATTATCTATAAATGGATTCCTTTTTTAAGAACATTAAAACTTGTAAAATATTTTTTTTTATTTAATCTTTTATTAACAAAACAAAATAAATTTGGACTTACTTTAAATACAGTGTCCTACCATAGTTTTTCACTGATGTAAATAAAGCCACTCAATATTTCACTAGCACTTTAAATAACCTAAAAATCCATGCCTCAGCTGAAATATCTATCTCCTCAAAAACCAAAAAATTGAAACCATGGGCCACTACCGCGATAATTAACTCAATAAGACAAAGAGACCGTCTCCATTTACAAGTTAAGAAACACCCCCTTAATTTAAATTTAAAAGATTACTACGTAAAATTTAGAAACAAAATTACAAAAATAATAAAAACTGCAAAGATCCTTTACTACAAAGCAGAATTACTAAAATCTGGAAATAACACAAAACTTAAATGGCAGACTATTAATAATATCTTAGCAAAAAATAAGAAATCAAGTAACTTTAAAGAATTATTAAATAACTGTAAAAACATAAATGATTATACTGATGAAAACCCCGAATATATTTTGGCTGAAAAATTTAATAAATATTTTACAAATGTAGCTACCGATTTAATTACGTCACTAAAAAACCGTAAAAATACCTACAATTACACTACAAACTTCGACTATAATTTGCAAAACAAGGTATACTTTAATAAATTCGACCTAATCACTCATACTGAAATTTTTGAAGCTATCTCTAAATTAAAAAACGGATCTTCACCCGGTCTTGATAAGATACCCTCCGATTTACTAAAAAAACATAGTTTAACATTTTGTAAACCATTAAGTCATATTTTTAATCTATGCATATCACAAAATAAAGTACCAGATGCCTTTAAAGTAGCTATAATAACCCCCACACATAAGAAAGGTCCTATCTCAGCTCTAGAAAACTTTCGTCCGATATCAGTTATTTCAAACATAGCTAAAACATTTGAAAAAATCATAAAAAAAAAACTTATATCTTTCTTAGAATCAAACAATCTTCTTTTTGAATGTCAATTCGGTTTTAGACCCAATAGAAGCACGGACCAAGCATTAACGAATGTCACAAAACTTATCTATACTGCACTCGATGAAGGAAAAAAATGTGCTACAATTTATTTAGATCTGGCTAAAGCCTTCGATACAGTGGATCACAATAAACTTCTAAGTAAAATACAGAATATAGGCATAACTGGATCGGCCTTGTCTCTCATTAAATCTTATCTAGAAAACAGAATACAGAGGGTAAAAATAAACAGTACTATCTCTAGTGAAAATATTATAAAATGCGGAGTACCTCAAGGTACTACACTATCTCCGGTTCTCTTTAACATCCACTTAAACGATATAAAATTACTTAAGTTAAATAGTAAAACAGTGTGTTATGCAGACGACACCGTACTGATCTGTATTGGTAGTTCTTGGAGTGAAGTATGCCAAAACATTGAAGTCGATCTTAAATCTATCCATAATTGGTTGAGCGATAACAGTTTATTTCTAAATCTCAATAAATCAACCATCTTACTCCACTCACTGTCTGAACAAACTTTACCACCCATACACAATATAAAAATCCACGAATCCAACTGTAATACATTGAAAAGCTGTGACTGTAACTCGGTTAGTATTGTCAAAAACTGTAAATATTTAGGCATAGAAATGTGTTCTGATATGAAATGGATAAACCAGATTACTTCTGTCACAAATAAACTAAAAAAAATGATTTACATAATGAAAGAATTACGTGAAATATTGCCTTTCAAAGACATCAGAACTATATACCTAACACTATTCGAGTCAATAATATCGTATGGCATAATCGGATGGGGTGGTGCCTACAACAACGCTCTTCTACCGCTCCAAAAATGCCAAAACACTATACTCAGGGTCGCAAACAAAAAAAATTGGAGATATCCAACCGA